TGCGGTCTTCCCTCCTGGTTGTAAAGGCATTCAAGCTACTGTTGTCCAAATGTCTGTTTGGCTGCCAATGGACTGGCCCCAAAAGAACATTTTTGCATCTCAATAGACTGCCCAGTATCAACAATCTTTAAACTATAAATTTAACGCCTGCTAAAGAAAGCTGGATATAACACCTGCATTGTACTGCCTCAGTATCACCTTTCCAGAATGAACAAATAATCAGGCTACTTTCTCTTATCTCTCACCCTGCATCAGAGGATCTCAAGTGGCCCGATAAACATTAATTAACTGGGCCGCACAATCCTCCTGTTAGGATGGCTGCGGCAGGATCCTCTCTAGAAGATAGATGGACAGACTTCCTGGGAGGCCTCGCTGGGACAGTCAGGGGCTGAGCTTGGACTCCAGGCCCTGAACTTGGAACTCATTCCCACAGGCCCATGGCTGAACAGCTCCACTCCAACCAAGCAGTGCAAAGCGTAGGCGTTAAAACTGACAAACTCATAAATACATTCACACAGGAAACCAAAATCAATTTCAAAAAGGTTGATTTTTCCTCTAGCTGCACTGAAAAGAACAGTCTACTCCCCAAAGGGGTGGAGCCTCGGGAACAATTTGGGTCTGTGAGTTACTGGACCATGACACTGTTTTGACAAACGACATGGTCTACTTCACCTGAATGCCGATTTGCCAATAAGTTCTTCATCGATTTACCCATTAAACTGCATTATATGACATTTTATTAACAGAGGGAAATTTCATTTGATACCAAAATTTTTGTGAAATTTAATGATAAATTATTTTGTCCCTATTCATGTTTTTAATCAAGTGAACAATTAAGCTTTCTGTTAAAAAATCTAATTGAAAAATTCCACAAGAATAAAATCCAGAATTTATTATCCAGTAATAATAAAAATAATAAAGGTATACTGTATACGAGTTTACCTAAAAATTAATATTTTGTATAAATGTACACTATAGAAGAAACTGATAAGAGAAAAGGGCTCAAAGCTAAGTGAGTCCTGACTCCACTACCCTTAGTTTAAAATGAAAAAGAAAAACCTGCTGGAAAATCCAAAACTTACTTTTAGCACAGGTCACGTTCAATGCTAACATGTGTAGCATGTTAACCTCTGCACAGAGCTCTATTTCATATCTACATAAAAACACTTAGTTTTTCAAGTATTAAATTTTGGCGATGACTTTCAGGTGACTGTTCATGTGTTATAGGATCTATTCTAGAAGCTTTAAAACAATATAAATCAATGTTTTCATAAGAACCTGGATTATTTCTAGCAAAGCATCTAAAGGCTTTAATATTACTTTTTTTTTTTTTTTGGTACCTGGGATCAAACTTGGATCCTTGCACTTTTGAGGCAGGCAGCAGAACCACTGAGCTAAATCCTCAGCCCTTTAATATTACTTCTTATTCAGGGGCCTGGGATTTAGCTCAGTGGTTCCATCACCTCCCCTGCAAGCACAAGGACCAGAGTTCGATCCCTGGTACCAAAAAAAAATATATAGATAGATAGATAGATAGATAGATAACTTCTTTTTCAGAAAATATTCAAAGGTTTTATAGAAATATTGAATGGTTAAAATGAAGCAAAAAGCCTAATTTACATAAAGCCAATTTATAATATAAAGCCTTTGTCAGTGTGTTCTTTGTCACTCAAAGCAGAACGGTCAACAAAGATGACATACACAATTCTAAAAATTTTACAACGAGATCACTTTCACACTACCACAAGGGAAAAATATGGACAATCACTAAATGAAAATACACATAAATGATCTTATATTTAGCACGAAACAAGGGACAAACACTGACCTAGGCGAAAAAAAATTAAAAAGGAGCAAAGTACTAAGGGAACATTTTGAAATTTTAGCTCTTATGATTTTTATATTTCCTTCCTCACTTTCAAAAGTATAGCAAGCTGTCATGACTGAATCCAGTTAAAAAAAAAAAAAGGATCAGAAAGACTAATATTCTGAAAGCAGCATGGTAATTTATGTGCTTTGTGCCATTCAGCCTATCCATTAAGAACATTTCCATTTCTTATCAGCATAATATTAAAGTATTTAAAGCAACATGTTCTTACGGCATTTTTCCACACTTAATTCTTGATTTCAGTATTTAAAGATGATTGTTAAGTTTTTCCTCTTCACATTAGAAACTCTATTTGTAAAGTTAACATTAACATACTTGCTCTAGTAATACTATGCTGAATGTACTATTTAATAAGACATTTACTTAAAACTTGGTACTTTCTATTTCTTAAATTTCTAAATAGACTGTATTTCTAAATAAACATATCCACCAGCAAAGGAGTTATTTCAAGTTCCCCTCTACTACGTGAGTCAAATGTAAACACGCTATATTTACACAGACCACCCTTTTACTCAAAACACGTAGATAGTATTTGTATATTTCTATTGTGCATATATAAATTATTACGGGACACCTTCACTAATAACTAGACCTTTGCAACTACAAACTTAAAGTACATTAGTTCCCTTTAGCGAACAGTACATTACTTTGCCTTTAGTGGTATTCTGCTGGGCTTTCCCTCCTGGTGGAGGCTCATGCCTTGAGAAGACTGCGTTTGTTAGGATAACTCCAAAATACCACTTTCCCCCACACCACAGTAGAATGTGTGTCAAATTCACAATCAGTATGTTTTTTAATTTTCTCAGGTGTGTTAAAGGCTCTTAGCTAAGATATATACACCTCAAAACTTTAAATTCAGGGCCAGGGAGGTAGCTTAGCAGTGTAGTATCTGCCTAGCAAGCGCAAGGCTGAGTTCAATCCCCGGAAAAAGAAAAAAGACCAAAAAATTTTTAATTCTGTTATTAAACTAAATTTTGCACAATAAACCAAATTGGCTACTCTTCTTAGTCTTAATATCCAATAAAACTGGTGATTTAAAAAAGCACTAACCAAATACAAAATGTGAATTTCTGAACATTCAAATTTTACTAAAATCGTGGAAGAATGATCCAGAGCTTGTCTGAAAATGATTACCTATATATTTAATTTTCTCAGTAGTCTGAAATGTGGTAGATATTGCCTTTAAAGACTGTAAAGCACAGGGTGTGTGGTAGGGAGGTTAACTCTGAAGTTTTCCTACTTCAGCAGCTACCAGGGAGGAACTGAAAAAACAGTTGAAATGGTGCAATAGAAACTTAAAGACAGGGAATTACAGAAGTAGAAGAATTGAAAACAACAATTTTTTAGAAAAGTATCATCATCACAGAGCTCCCAAGAAAATGTAACTGTATCACTCAGGGTTTTTACTTCACTGTCTCACCAATTATTTAGTATCCCAAGTTCTTAAGAGGACACAAAAGGTGACACAAAAAAGAGATATGCTAAAAATAATCCAAAAGAGTCAAACAGTTTGGCGTCAAATGTAGATACCACTGATGAAACGGTTTTAAGTGGCTAAATGGATGAGGGCTGCAGGGATGCCAACGGGAGGCGGCCAAGTGCCACACTGTGGAGACAAAATATGAAATTAACCCCTGGTAGACTGCATTCCTTACCACCGGAAGTGAAATTTACAAAACTTATGTCTCCTCCCAGCCTTACAACCAGAAGCCAGGGTCTCCTGAGTCCCAAAGGATACGGGATCGCTAAGAAAACGATGAGTATTTACCGTCATACAAAGACAGCTCCAGAAAGCTGTACAGAAACTCACTGCATTGACTCCCCTCTTGAAAGGCACAGGGACTATTTCTTTCTTCCCAAGTTACTAGTAATAAACTTGCTCCTTCCCTGCAGAAAGGATTCTTTGTTTCCTACAGTGGGCATCCAGCTTCTGTACTCCAGCCTTCTCTTAGCTCCAGGGCATGGCTACAGGCAGGAATAGTAACCGCTCTTATAATTAACTGTGGCCTCTAAGGGGCCGCTCCCCTCTTCACTATGGAAGACCTGAGCAGCACAGGTGGGCGTCAGAGCACCTGCACGGAGGGAGGCTAAAGCAACCAACCAGCCCTGGAGAAGAGCAGTTTTTCTCTCCAGCCAGCCCTCGGTGGTTTCTGACCAGCAGTCCACAGCTCTGGGCTGGCTGAACTCTATTTTCTAGCCAGATCTTTTGTGCGGGTTAGCTAGTTTCTGATCCTACGTTCGAAGCACGAACAAAGCTTCAAAATCATCCCAAGCTCAACACTTTCTCAGCACTGAGGTGAAATGCTGAAGCTGCGGTGCCTTGGGCAAAACCCACCACGTATCACTTACTAGGAACTTGAGAATTTTCAAAAACGAAATTATTTTCTGACAGAGTTGAGTCTACGCAGGCAGCCTGGAGAGAAGAAATGGAGGGTGTGATTTTACTAGGAAGTCTTTCTATCTTTCTACCTGGGATACTGTCTTTCCCCTGAACAGTCCTGATGGTATAAAACGTGCACTATTCTTCTTGGGGTGGTCTTCGTACCACTCATGTTTAGGTTTTCCTCATCCTTCTCACTCTTCCTGGCAAATAAACAACGAACACTTTCTTCGCACACGTCTACCCTAAGGGGTTTTGTAAACCCAACACCTGCGTCTTACCCAGGAGTCTACTTCGTCAGTGATTTCTGCTGACTTCCTTATGCGGCACGGCCTGCGTCAGCCCACCTTCCAGTCTGAGTCATCTCGGTATTGTAATGGAGCAGAGGAGCATCCTTCTGGGGTTCCAAACCTCCTCCTCTACAGCATCACCGGGAACCACGGCCCAGCGCTCGACTGAGCGCAGAACAAAAGCAAGCAGGCCGCGGCCCAGCCCGAGCAGCGCCCCGCACACCCGAGCCCTCGAGGGGCGAAGCCCCGAACCCGCAGGCTCACCCGCTGCGCTCCACGCGCGCAGCACTGCGCAGTGCCCAGTTGATTCCCACGCACGCAGCACTGTGCGTCCCCGGTTTCCACGCGCGCAGCACTGCGCCTGCCCTGGTTCCCACGCGCGCAGCACCGCGCCGGCCCGGTCCGCTCAAGGCATGGGAATAGAGAAAGGAAACCTTCCTACCCGTAGCAGCGACTGCGACTCGTCCTTCACCTTGCTCTCTCCGGACACCGGGAACTGTGGGCCCAGGGCCCCGGCCTTCTCGCCGCCCGCGGGCGCCCCCTGCAGGAACCCCTTCGTCTCCGCCGCCAGGCCGTACAGGGGCCGCGCCAGGTGGGCCGCCTCGACGCTCGGGCTGTCGCGCAGGGCCTTGGGCTGCTCCTGCGAGCTGGGCACGGGCGCCAGCAGCCCCAGGCCGGCCTGCGCGAAGGACGGGCTGCCCCGCAGGAGCTCGGGCCCGCGCCATGCCACGCTGCGCAGGTCTTCGCCCGCGCCCTCGGCCCACGCCTTCTCCCTGAGCGCGTCCTTGTCCTCCAGCTGCTCCCGCTTCACCGCGCCCTCGCACGCGGGCTCCCCGGCTTTGCAGTCCACGCCCAGCAGACTGTAGACCTTGAGGTCCAGCTTGGGCTCCTCCTTGACGGCACAGGCGGGCCCGGCCTCGTCGCCGTTGGCGGTGCTGACGTCCTGCTCCTGGCAGTGGGCAGCGTTGAAGTGCTCCAGTAGTGCCTGCGTGTCGCCAGCCGTGAAGCTGCACTGGCGGCATTTGTAGCAGCTGTGTGCTCTCCTGCAGGGGAAGAGAACAGTCAGGGGGTACTCAGCATCCGCAAGGGCCTTTCCTGGTTTCCAGTAGTCTTTAGGCGCCTGAGTTCTGTCTCAAGCATGGCACAGGCAGAATGCGACACAACCGTCTCAAGGCTCAGACGCTGGAATTGAAGCATTTCCTATTCTATATAAAGAACGTGAACTTCCCCTTTTGTTGTATTACCAGTAATGGGTGCACACATATGCACGCGCATGCACACACACACACACACACACACAGTGCGTGCGCGTTGCATTAATGATTAGCATTAAAACTGGTTGGTTGGCTTTACTATCAAATCACCCCTGCTCTATTTATTTTATCTCGGTGGATAATCATCAATTCTGTGCCAGTTAAGTCGATATTCACATCATTTGTATGTGATTTCATCAATGGGGTTTTCATTTTCGGTTTATTTAAACTACAGTGAGTTTTCTTCATATAAACACACACTTCTAGTACTGACGTGCTTTGTATAGCTTTTCCATATATTAAAACGCACTCTAAGTGATACAGTGTTCTTTTCTAGCATGAATTTAAATCCACTTAGTGGATGAAATATGGCTATGTGATCTACATAATCTAGAAAGTAAGATGTATTACAAACCAAGGACTTTTCTGTATTACATACTACCTGTGCGTAAGGACACAAATGTATTCCACGAGTTGAGCATGTGCTGGCCGTCAAATGGCATGACAATTCACTGCACAGCTACGTTCACTGAAAGGAGGGGCAGGTTGTTTTCTTTTTCAATAACACAAAACAAGGAAGGAACTTGTTGTCAAATTTCACAGCATCTCTGCTTTAAAGAGTAAACAGTAACTGCTACATCAGGGCAAATGTTTGATCAACAAAGAACAGAGATACTGCATTGCGAAAGGCATGCCAGAAAGGTACACAAATGATCTGGAATAAGGTCTTCTTTCTTTAACAAAAAAGTCTGAATTGGCTTTCTAAGTAAATGCTATCTGAAACATTTTTTACTTCCTTTGTATAATGTTACGAGTGACTGACAAAGTAACAAACTGAGTCTTACGAGCTATTACTTAAATCTACCGTAGGATATGCAGTCATACATTTACTTGTGCATAATCATCAAAATATTACTTTGTCAGGAACAGGGTACATACACTACTGGTGAATAAAAGATACACTTTTTTTGCCCACCTGGCGCTTACAGTCTCTTCAGCAATGCTTCACATAAGACTATATATAAATAGCTAAGTACAAGGAATAATCTATACTAAGAATGAAATGGATGGAGCCACAGTGGGGCATAGTTGGGCTCCTTAGAGTACTCAGAACTTTCTGAGGCAAGTATTTAAATGCAAAGGGTGAACGGGAGCTATTCTTGGAGGAAGAAGAAGAGCTGGAGACCACATTCTAGCAAGTCTAGGATACTGAAAAGCAGTCAGTTTGTCCAGAGAGGAATAAATAAAGAGGAAGAATGCACACCTACAAGCCAGAAGGTCACTAGAGCATGTGCTCGTGGCCATGGTGTGAAGAGTGAGTAACTTGGATAATTCAGGGAAGCAGTAGGCAAGGTAGTAGGGTATTCAAATGCATGTTTTAATTAATGTAGCAATGTGACAGTTTCTGTCTTAATAATTTTGTTCCCTTACAACTCATGCCTGATGATGGAAATTTCAGAAATGTTTCTGTTCTACAGAAGTAAAACTCAAAGATAAGATAAAATCACCAACAAGTAGTTGTTGAGGTAGCACATTATTCAGAGCTCACATTTTTGCTGAACAAATATGGATATTTAACTCCATTTTTTAACAAAAAATTGTTTGCAGCCTTTTCTTCTGTATTTTCACTGAGTACTAAAGATAAATGTAAGTGATATAATGTGTTGATAACTATCCACAGAAGTACCTTGTTAAAATTAACTCTTCAAACAAAGGCAATTTCTGACCAACAGTAAGACTCTTGCCACCAATGCCAAGTATAGAAAAGCCAAATACACAATCAAGGTGACAAAAGATAACAGACACAATCTGAAATCCAGGACCTGGAGTCTTGGGAAACCTCATCTAAAGAACCACCTCACTAGCATCACAGTTTAAGATAATTCGATGGGAAATAAGTAAATCCAAAATTGTACAAAAAAAACTTTTGTTTCTGAGGCCAGAATGCGCAAACACAAAAATATATCAAAATGAGTAAAGCCAAAATGCGTTATTCATGATAATCTATAGTCTCTATCGAGTCACGAGAATTAAAAAGTAAACAAGCCAACTCCAGAAGCACGTCAGCCAGCTCTGAGGCAGTTCTAAGGCACTCACTCCCCACCTCGGCAGTGACATGTCCCTGGTGACACCACTGCTGGGGTTCACAGCACTGTCCTTGTCATTTCTACCCAAGTTGGTGGCTGCACTGCAAAAATGCTGAAGGATCATAGTGATACCGTTTTCTGAAACAAAGGCTGCAAATACTAGCCCAACAAGGAGAAAGTATCAACATACAAGAGAGGAAATGTAAAATGCTAGAGCCCTACATGGCAAAAACTATTTTTAAGAGGAGACCGGGGCTGTGATCCCCTGATGCAGTGCTTCCCTAGTGTGTGCAAGGCTCCGTACTCAGTCTCCAGCCAATAAAAATAAAAGATACGGGCAAAAAAGGGCAGACGCTTAAGATTTTGTTGGAGAAACAATTTAGCACCCTGAAGTGTGCAGATTCGAAGAAAACAGCAGACTTTGGATCTCGACTCTGCATTTAGGGCTATATGAGGTTTTGAATCATGAACTGAACCTGTCTCAACTGCTTCATTCTGTAAAGTAAAATAATAGCACGCCTTGATATGGTTCTCATGAATACTAAGTAACACTAGTAGTGATGTTGGTAGTAACTAATTAAATCAGAGTTAACCAGTCTAAATCCAAACTTAAAGCCCCTCTCTCCCATGTGAATCTGCGTTCTGCACTCTTTCTGCAAGTTTCAACTCACAACCTGGTATTATTGGCATCGTTTCTTTTTTCCGTTTTTCTTGCACCTCAACCATGATGAGCATCTTCTTTCGGTTTTTGTTTTTTTGGGTTTTTTGAGACAAAGTCTAGCTATGCAGTTTGGGCCTGTCTTGAGCTCACTGTGTAGCCCAGGAAGGGACCAGGTGATCCTCCTGCCTCAGCCCTCCCAAGGGCTGGGATCACAAGTGTGCCCCTGTGCACCACCACACCCAGGGAGCACCGAGCTTTTTACCTTCTTACTACATGACATCTTCCCTTGAAGACACCGCTATACAGAATACATCTGAAGCCCTTTTGTTGTACCTAGTGGTATCCAAAGGCCTGCAAGACTGAGCATTTTGCAGTTTACTACTTGAAAGTCAATCTTTACTCTCTTCTCACTAATAACAGTCAAACTCCAAATCTTAAGGGTTCTAAAATGCAAATACAGTGTACTGGAAGGGCTTTACCTGCATTTTATTAAAGCCTTAGGAGCTAAGGCATGTGCTGTAGGCCTATTCATTAATGCAGGTCAGAATATGATGTATCTAGTAATACAACCAAGTAATTGATAGTACATAGATCTGTTATCTGCTTATTCTCCACTCTGGAACATACCAGAGCCGCCCTTATTCCTTCCCAAAGAGATGAATCCACCCATGCTTTAACCTGTACCTCCTCCCAACTGTAGAAAGTTCTGGGCCCCACCCCAAAATGACATAGTATCATCAGGCAGTGTCACCCCCGAGACTCCGTGTCTGGGACTTCTGGATTTCCTACTTTGGAGTTCCTGCCCCTCAATAACTCCAGGCTCCTGACAGGTCCCGCAAGAGCCCCTCCGATCCACCCCACAGAGAAGCCTTTGATCCGACCTAGACAAAACTGTCCAGGAGAAGGTGCCAGAGAACCAAAGAATGGAGCACAGTGGGCAGGTGGAAGCCTGAAAGGAGGCCGGAATCACAGAGATAACTTTTCAGTGAGGACCAGAGTTTATATTGAAAAGAAAAACACATTGTAGTAGGAAAGATATTAAAATAAAGCTGTACAAACAAGTTCAACTCACATATCTTGTCTCTGGAGAGCTCAAAGCACTCCCAAGTATGTGAACGTACAAGGAACTCAAGGCTAAAGCCCATTTTGCAGACAGCAAAGTGCAGAAACAGCGCCTTCCCCAAATGCTTTACAACCATCAAGATGGAGGCCTTCTAACTTGCAGATCAATGTTCCATTTTTCTACGTCTGCTTCTTAAATTTTTCACATTATACGAAAACAAACAATTACGGGCAGCCTAGAGGGTGGGAAACGTCTTCCAAACGAGAGCAGAGAGACTGAGGACAACAGTGATTCGCAAAAGAGGCGTCACAATACAGATTCCAAGGCCTCGCCACTCTCCCAAGTCAGCATGTCTTGGACATAACCAAAGAATCTGAATTTTTAATGCAGTTGGCAGCGGACACAATGCAGGATCCGGTATCTATCTAAAAACCGTATGTCTAGACACTATGACTCTAACAGTCCAGTGAGAAAACTCACAAGACCTCTCCTACCCCTGTCTTTCATGAAGCACAGACAATGTCCTGCCTACCCTAGCTCTTCGGAATCTGAAGACACAGGGTGTGAGGACCACTCAAGAAAGACTAAAGCTTGATGGAGAAGCAGGAAAGCGCTCAACTACTCAATCTTTCAGGCCACTGAACTCCACTAAGGGAAACAGTACAGGCAATTTATAACCAGCACTTTCGAGATGAGAATTCCTCTCTCCTTGGATCAGTCCTAAATAAATGATAGAAAGCAGATTAAGAAGTCAGGGGAAAGATAAACTGCTCACTACCCTATACTGGCACAGGGAGCAGTGCTTCTCAGACCAAACATGCCTAAGAATCACCTGAGGATCTTGTTAAAAATCCAGATTCGGGCTCTGGAGCCTGGAGTGTTGTCTGATTGTATTTTTTACGAACTCACAGATGAAACTGATGCTCCTGGTTTCAGACTACATCTTGGGAAGCAAGAATCACACAGCCATGGTCAGAAA